TTTGAAAAAGTTGCCACTCTGTGTATTTTTATAACAATGACACTGGATTTTATTTATTTATTTATTTATTTATTTTTGCTTTAAGGTCCCAGGATTCCACAGCACTTTCTTGTAGAAGCTAGCACTTTTAAAAGTAAGCTACAGTGTACATAAATTATCTTTAAATGACATGAAGAACAAGTAAAAACATGTATTTACTTCTTCTTATTTCTAGAGATCAGGGTTTTGGAGGACAACAAGGTATTTAGCGATGCCATAGCTGACATCCAGATGCCCACTATGCGCCGAGGGACCCTTAAGATAGGCAAATATAGTAAGTAAATGAATCTGCGACTGGTAGACATTTATTACATACTTCCTTTTGTAGCTGTCAAGTCTTGCAACGTGAAAGATCTGGGTTCAATTCCAGCTTCCCCCTGCAATGCAGTGGTGTTCTTCTGTGCATGCACTACTGATCCATGCATCAGTGTAGGGATGTATGTGTATGTTTGTGAGTGGATCTAGTGTAAAAGTGCTTTGAGTGGTGAGTAGGACTGCACAAAGTCATAAACTTGCTATATAAATGTTGTCAACTTAGCATTTATTTGGTCTCTGAAAATTGCCTCTATTGGAAGAGGGTTAGAACCTTTGGAAAAAAAATAATTCTGAATTTAATCTCAGAATTCTGAGAACAAATTTGGATTTTAAAAAAAAACAAAAAAAAAACTGCCAGAATTCTGAGATTGAAGTCAGAATCCTATGACGGCATATTAGGGCCATTGTAGATAGAAAAAAAAATTCGTAGTACATTTCTGGGGAAAAAAAGAAACTCAAAATTTTGAGATTAATATCAGAAACTTTCTAGAAAAAAATGGAAATTTCTGAGTTTCAAAAGTTGGGCATTTTTGAAAACAATTTCTGAGATTTTAGCAGAAATTCACTGAGGAAAAAAGTTTTCATTTTTTTCTCCAGTGGTTCTAATCCTCTTCTGTACCCCTAGGAGTGTGTGAGTTGTTTGAAGCAGTAAGAAATGTTGTTTACAATTGTGAATTGATCCACAGTGATTCTTTTTTACATTGGTTTTCAGAAAAAATAATTGTGACCTTAAACTGTCAATTTCTATTCCAATGAAATTCCAATGAAAAAAATAAATTTCTTTTCATTCACAGATCTTTGGTATCAGATGTATTTACCCCCAGGCTTTGATGAGTCCAAGAAGTACCCTTTGCTAATTGATGTGTAAGGATCCACTGTAACAAATAAATAACTAAAATACATAGAAACTTTACTCACTAAAAAAAAAACAACAACAACAAATCTGCACACCCTTCCAGGTATGCAGGTCCTTGCAGCCAGAAAGTAGACTTCAGGTACAGAGTAGGCTGGTCCACCTACCTGGCCAGCACTGAGAAAGTCATTGTTGCTAGCTTTGACGGAAGAGGAAGCGGTTACCAGGGCGACCAGCTGATGTTTGAAATCTACAAACGCCTAGGAACCTTCGAGGTGGAAGACCAGATAACGGCAGCTAAGTATGAGAATCTCATGCAAACATCTCACCTCACCTGAAACGTCTCAATAAAAATACATTTTGTCATAGTGCATGAATTTTGCCATGAATTCCACAAACTAATTGCCTTTTATCGTCCTTTCTCTAAAGGGAGTTCATCAAAATGGGGTTCATTGACAAAGATAGGGTTGCTATATGGGGATGGGTAAGTATCCAAGACAAATATGGGCTGTGTAAGAATAGGATTGAACCTGTTGATGTGTAATATTGTATAGTACAAAGGCCAAGTCGTGGCTCTAAAAATAAGTTAATGTTCCACTTTGACGTCAGTGTGTTTTATAGTGCGGATGAGCTGATGTAATGAGATGTCTTATCTTCCACAGTCCTATGGTGGATATGTATCTTCGATGGTCTTGGGCTCTAACAGCGGCGTTTTCAAATGCGGGATGGCAGTGGCGCCTGTGTCCAAATGGGAATATTATGGTATTTTTATTGGTGTTGATAGTCGTCGTACTTCAGGCCACTGTAATAACGGGAACATTACAAGATCTGCATTGATCTGTTTGTTCCAGACACCATCTACACAGAACGCTACATGATGCAGCCCTCGGAGAACCGTGACGGATACGATGTAAGTTTCGCCATCCGTTATCAGTCCTCACATCTGTTATCTCATCGTCTAACCATAAATCTGGCTGTGTTTAGAACTCCACAGTAACGGCCAGAGCCAAGAATTTCCATTCAGTGCAGTACCTTCTGGTTCACGGGACAGCCGACGGTGAGTTCCTATGGTTGTTCTAACCCCAAACGTTTTGCAACTACATTTGGACACCCAGGGGTGAAGATAAGAGTAGTCTGGTGCCACGAAAATGTACATTTTCAACCATTTGTTGTAAAAAAAAAATGCAAAAACGATTCTATTGTAAAAACAAATATACAATATTTTGAAATGTGCTAGCCTAATTTTTATGCAGGAAGAGTCTTCCAAATCATTTCAGATGGATTCTAGGCTACAAGAGCATAACACTCTTAAGACATCTCTGTCTTAACCTTCTTATTAGAAAGATTTTCTCATTTGAAAGTTTTTCTTGATTCCCAACAGCAACATCGTCAACTAATAAAAAAAATGACATGGTTGGAAAGTTGGAAATGACCCAATAATAGGAATGTACCAAAATAAGAATGCAGGCATGTTGGAAACAAACCGTAAAATGTTCCTGTCACCAGCCAGTCTGAACTGTAGATACAAGGAAAGACAGATCCATACAAATGCCATGCTTTGCAATGAGTGATTATTTGAACTAATGTTGCTAATTTGAGCTAATGTTGCTAATTTCATATTTGTGTTAACACTCTGGCAGACTAGCATTTAATATTGTTTTTTTGTTTTGTTTTTCAGAAATGAAATAAAATATATTATTTAAAAATGTTTTAGAGTACAGTGACATTATTACTGTAAACTGTCTCTAAAAAGTTTAAAAACTACCTGCGTTTCTGCAAGTTGTATGCTAGCAGCTAGTAAATTAGCATGCAAACTGGTTTAGGTTTCTTCAGACTATAGAACATGTCTCTAATTAAGGTCTTTGCTCTATATTTAAATTTACCCAGGCCTATAATTCATACCATCATTTGATCAACTGTGAAGTACAGTACCTCTTAATACCTCTTAATTTAATATAGTGTTTGGTATTTTTTTCTAGATAATGTCCATTTCCAGCAGGCTGCTGAGATCTCAGAAGCCTTGGTAAATGAGAAGGTGGACTTTGACGCCATGGTGAGTAATCCTTAAAATCCAAATGATTATTTAATGAACAAAGCTGCCAAATATGTTCTTTAAGTTCTGTTTTTTATGTTTTCCTTTCAGTGGTACACGGACAAGGATCATGGACTGGATGGCTTCGCCAACATGCATGTCTACATTCACATGGCGAAATTCCTGAAAAAATGCTTTGAATAAGATTATGTATGTTTTCATTTTCTCATGTAGATAAGATATTATTGTAATAAAAACTGTCTAATTATCATATCTCCTCCTTTAGGAGCTGAACCACAAAGTCATTTCCCAAAATGTATTTACCAAATAGAAAGCTAATGTCCTGAAAGTAGAGAATATAAATAAAGATGCGCATTGAAAATACTCACATACTAGGAAAACCCTTTCTCATCAGAACAGTAATGACAAACAAAATATTCCGTCAGAACATACGTTTCTGAAACCACACAAACAAAACTTGTAAAACTCGTATAAGCGCATGCGGGGTCAGTGCCACCCTGTCGGACCGTGAACAGGCTAAAAAAGAAACTTGCAGGGTTTCTGTCTCTTAAGACTAACATCATCTTGTTAGGCTTATTCTGTAACATAAGCAGAATGACAAAACAATTTACATTCAAAATTTCCACCATTTCTTTCTTTCAGTTAGACCATGTTATATATATTTGCTATAAATTATGTCTGAATACTATGAAATTGTGATAATTTTGCATAAGGTTACCATACTGTGAGCGTCATAACTTTGCTAGAAGCAGCTGGTTTTAAATTGCCGTTTGCTTGTAGCGGATGCTCAATGACATGAGAAACACCAAAAGATATGTGAAAATATCCATGTAAGTGTTTTACTTGGAAATAAAGTGTTGCAGTCTGTTAAGTTTGTATATTAATTATTTTAAGTTGTTTTACCTTGAATTATCTCCATACACATGATGAAAACTGAATCAAAATGTTTCTGGAATAAGTTTACAGATTGCTGTTTATATGATTCCATGAAAAATAAAGAAATAAATAATTTTTTTGTAAAATTATTGATGTTTTGTGATATATTTTTGGCGTGTTTGGTTTTGTGTTTTGTCTTTTATACTTAATGGTATAATGTTGAAGTTTTGCATCTGCTGTAACTGAACCAAAAAAGCAGCTAAATTACTCAGAGTCACATTTTCAGTTTTGTTTTGATTCATAACAAGTAGCATCTTTTTGGCTTTTGTACCTTAAGATGTTCTGGTTTTCAGACAAAAAGTAGAAATTGTTTTGGATTTCGTCATAACTTTAGAAATATTAAACTCATGCCACATCATACTGCAATGAATAGTTTATTTCAGCTTGTATTTCAACCTAACTAAAAGAAAAGGAATAGCAGCGAAGACGTTTCCTGAACATTACTGAGCTCTCTGGTTGTAAAACCCAAACTGCCGCTGAGGCAAAAACTGATCAATATTTCCAATTCTCTGCATCTGATTGGCGAGAAGCCTCAAATACTGACTCACTGTCCAAATACACAGTCACACGTACTGCTCCTCATCGTGATGACACAGTAGCGCATTAGAGCGTCTCCCCTGACTGTCTATTTGACAGGATGAGCAGCAGTTGTTTGATCTTAACACCTAAGTACAAGCAGGCATCACGCATGAACTGCACCTTTCCACCTACACCTTTCAATTGAACAAACGCACGGCTCGTTTACTTGCCCGTCACTGAGGGGTCCTGTGTCTAATGGGTCGAGAGTAATGGGACCGTAAAGCAGGTCCGCCTGAGGAGATGGGACCTCCTCTTCCAGTATATAAAGCTGGAAGGCAGAAGCAGGTGGTCACACAGGAACACCAAGCAGAGGAACTAACAGCACCGTTTGGAAGGAAACAACACAAGGTGAGTTGAATCTTCTCATCTTTACTCCATCTTACCTTCAGCTGATGACTTGTCCGTGTTTATGCCTTGTTTCATGTCGCAGCTCGAAACCATGAGAAGCATCCACTGCTTGGCCGGCATCCTTTTGGTCCTGGGCTTCGTGCAAGTCAGCTGGCAGGTTCCTCTACTTGGCACTGAGGACAGCTCCAGGTAAAGTTCTCTAGGGTTAGCACAATTTATACTCAAGAGACTCCAGTCTGTGACATACAAGAGTATGGAGATAGGATAAAAATGTTACATTATAGATTTCTAGAGCCCGTACTTATAAATACAAATACTTTAAGATTTCAAAGCACTTTAACAAAATAACTATACAACAAATAAAAAGTCTAACGTGAACGTCAGTACAACAGAAATAAAAATGAAAATCCCAGAAAGGTCCTGTGGGGAAAAAGTCAACACACAACAGTTGCTTTGCTTTTAACATGTAATATTGTTTAACCCTTACGCAGTCTGGCAAGGTCGCACTAACCCCGCATGCGCTTTTATGAAGGTTTTTTTCTGTGTGTGTGGTTTCGGGAACTGACGGTCTGATGGGAAACCTGCCATGCCCTCCTCGCTGTCTGACCATGACATCTGCCTCATTCCTCCTGAGCTTCATGCTAAGATTGCATGATTATACTGTCCTTGTCCTTAAACTTGATTAGAACTTTTAAACCAATGTTGAGCTTAAAGTTTGTGAGCAGGTAAACACTTTACCTGCTGTAGATATCACTCTTGAAGTCTTCATTCGGTACACATCCAGGATTGGTGGAGCTAAAGGCTAGTCCGAGGGCACCAAGTCCAAAGCAGACTTCTATCATCTATAAAAAGAATCCAGTGTATAATTCATAAAAGTGGTTAGTGGCAGCAATATTTTATGCACTTTAACCGTCATCACATTTTTATTGGATGGTTAATTATACAGAAATCAAATGGAAGCTTAAGTAGGAAGTGATGCGTCACCAATGATCATCTGGTGAGACTCATGCTCTGAGAACGAATCCTGTAAAGTCCTTTTCATCAGACAATAAGACTGTAAAGAACAAAAAAATAATTTCTAATTCTTTTGTACTTTTTGACAAATCTTTACTTTTAAATACCATGAAACACTTTAGGTGTTCTGTTCGTAGTACGTTTCTCACAGGAGGATTCTCAGTGGTTCACAGCCTCCAAACTCCATTTCCTGTAACAACTAATGAACTGAAAGTGCCCAGTGAAAGCAAAACGGTTTGACCTCATACTGCCTGAATTTATTTACAATAATATTTTAAAAATGCTGGTTAAAAAAATTAAGTAGAAATTTATTTTGAAGATAGAATTTAGCTCTGATGAAAATTAGCAACATCAGCCATAATTGAGAAAAAATAATACATTTTTCAGTCAAAAGAGAGAATATTGAATTTATACAGTTTTACAATTTATTTTACTTTTCATTGAAATTATTCTTTTATTACTTGATAGATTTTAAATATAGCTTAAAAATGCAAAAATCACAAAAGAGAGGCATTTCACACCCCGACTTCAAGATTGCATTTTTAAGCCAAGAGCTTCCGATACATTCCTTGCTATATATTAATTGCTTACCTTTTCACAGAACTTCACCTCAAATATCTTGAACTAGGACTTTCTTGAAGAAACCTCCACGGTTTAATAAGTTGAGGTGATTTGTTTACATGCCTTGTGTCTTTTGCAGTTTTGAGGAAGACAACAGATTAGCCAGCGGGCCCCAGGAGCTGTCGAACATCAAGAGACACTCAGAGGGAACGTTTTCCAATGACTACAGCAAATACCTGGAGGACAGGAAGGCCCAAGACTTTGTCCGGTGGTTGATGAGTAACAAGAGGAGCGGGTTGGTGTAGGATTTATTAAAAAAAAAAAAAAAAAAGAAAAAAAAAAGCTATTTGAGAAAGTTTCAAATTGTCTGCATTTCTTCATCGTGTGTTGTTCTGTTTTACTGCAGTGCCGATAAGCGCCATGCAGACGGAACCTTCACCAGCGATGTCAGCTCCTACCTCAAGGACCAAGCAATCAAAGACTTCGTGGCCCAGCTCAAGTCTGGACAGATCCAAAGAGAGTAGGCCAATCCTCCGTCTTTCAGTTCCAAAGCCTCCAAAAACCGCCTGGCTGTTTGCTTCCACCATGAACCCATCACTGGAACCAGAGTGATCTTGAACTAATCATCTGCTTTGTGTTGCCCTTCCCCCATTTTGTGCTATTTTTTTTTCTTTTCCTTTCCTTCTTAGCGTTGTGCTAAAATAAATCAATGAACCTTTCCGCTGTGTTGATTTGATATGTCTATTTGCACATGGTGCAATGAATCACAAAACACACAAGCAGACAGCAAAGCTAGCATGACACGATTACAGCAACGGCTATAGCAACATCTGATGGCTTTCGGACCAAACATTAGAGCTCAGATGTGAGGGTTGCTGACCCTTAATGGACACTGTTTACATTGTGTCCTTGTGTACATAGATCGGAAATGGACAGCCTGGCTCAAACGATCAGCAGGAGGCACGTAGATGGAAGCTTCTCCAGCGACGTGAACAAGGTGCTGGACTCCATGGCCGCCAAGGAATACTTACTCTGGGTCATGACCTCCAAACCTTCAGGGGAAAGGTAATACAAAGTCGACAGGGCTGATTGCGCAAATGCTAATGCTTATCGTAATAAACATGACTGTGACTTTTGTTTTTTGCAGCAACAAACGGCAAGACAACCAATAAGAGTCTTTTCGAACGCCACCTAAAGCCATATTGCAGAGGAACAGGAAGCCATACCGCTTTGCATGTTATGTTGATATTTTTTACTTTACTTTGAATGTATTGCAAAGATACAAATAAATGCTATTCTTCCACAGACAAAAGGTGCACAAGGGAAGAAATGAAATTCAGGGCATGAAATTTTCTACAAATGACAATTATTTGCTACGTTTCTAAGCTGCAAACAAGAACACCCAAGGTTCTGTCTCAGGTAGTCCTATGGAAAGCACATGATTGTCATAGCAAATGAATATTTTACTCTGCTAAATAAACCTTGTCATTTATTTCATCTCTTTGCCTCCTTTGTTTAGAGTGTACAACCCCTGGTTAAAATGTTATTCGTTCATGATGCACAAATGTTTCCATTTGTGATGGAAATTTCACAATTGTGCCATGTGAAACTTATCTTGTAAAATTTAGCTAAAAAACAAAACTGTGGAAAGCAGTAATAATCATTGTCCAAGCTCTTTGTGGCTCAATTTAAGTATTCTGATTATGTACAGCTGTCAATATCCCATACTCTCTGTATAAGCTACATGTTGCTTGTCTCCTTTGCAAAGATTCTGTATGAAATTGTGAAGGACCAAACTTTTTAGGTGATTTGGTATCAGACTTAGGTCTGGACTCTTGTTCAGCCATTTCAAGATGATCATTTTTTCTCTCATAAAGTCATTATTATGTAGACTGAAATGTATGCCAACACTGTTCTAAAGATAAAAAAAAAATCTTACACAACACCTGAAGCTCTGGGTATAAACTGACTAGTTTTTTGAACTGGAGTCCATGAAAACCAGTTCATTCAATCAAAAGTAGCCCCAGGAGCATCGTGACACCACTGTAATTAGATCAAAGCAAATTCATGTATTAAAATATTGAAAACAGCAAGTGGTGGTTTTACATAGTATTGACTCAGAAGGACTTAAATACAAAAAGCTTGTTTTCCAAATCAAACAAATATTTTACTGGGGTTGCAGTAAAATCAGGTGTCAGGTGTATTTGGGACAAACAATATATATAAAGCAAAAAACAAACAATTTCAGCTGTTTTATATCTTTATTTATGTTGTCTTGCACACATCCTCTCATTCTCATGAAACTAATTACATCTGCACAACAGATCTGAACTTATAGTTCTCCGTAAAGGTGACTTAAATTGTTAAAACAGAAAGTGCCCGTCTAATAATACCAAATTTAAGGCAGAATTCCACACAGAAGTGGTCAAAATATCCGATTTTGATTTCATTTTGACCCACCATTGGTTTCTCTAATCAGCTAAGAACCATCGGTTGGATATTTGGGGGGCAGAGGGAAGATAAACAACAAAAATCTGAAAACACATTTCTTATTAGTAATATATTAGTAACATTTTACATGAATAAAATATACTATGTATTATACAGTGTTAAGACTCTTTACCATTTACATTTTGCCCTTACCAGAAGAAAACAGGATTATTGCATCTCTAGAGGAAACTGTGATCCTGCAGTGATATAATTTCACCATCATGCAGGATTTCTTTATTATTTTTCTTTTAAAAACAATTAGCTGTGGATGCTAACACACACAAGGTCAGTTTCAAAGGAGATCACATGTTCATAGATGACACTTACTGACAAGATGATGAAGAGTATGCTGGAAAACACTGAGCTACTTGTACAATCACCCAAAAGTTAAGCATTTAAGTTTCTCTCTGTTATTTTTAAGCAAAAAAGATCGCTAATGTTAGCTAAAGTTACATGTTACCGAACTACGCTGCCATGCAAGCTTAAAAATATCGTTTTCACTTAAGCTGTCCCAGAAAGAAAAGAAGAAAAAAAAAGAGTGCGCTAAAAAGAAATAACTGGAAAATAAGCTCATTTACTTTCTTACTTTAGAAGAAATTGAAAAGACCGATATGGCTCTGGTATTTCTTCATAAAATGAAATGCTAATCCTAGCAAGGACAGATTTAGATTTTATTCCTTTTTTCTTTTACAAATTACATTGTAAAAGCTTTTTGGAATGAAACAAAGAAGATGGAAAGTGCTTGTCAGCTTTAGGCATTTTACAATGCTATGAAAAAGTAGTTTTCCGTTTTCACGTTTCTTCTATTTTTACTTTTTGTCACACTTAGCATCGTCAAAGTAAATCAAAGTTATTGTATGATTCAACAAGGGAGGAGGAATTACTTTTTCAAGGCCAGGTTTGTTCGGATAACTTTTTCATTTATTAAATGGCATTGCTATTAAAAATTTGATGTTAAAGATTGACAAAAAAAAAAACAAAACAAAAAAAAAGACTACATCTGTAATGATCAAATACTTTTTCATAACACTGCAGCTACTTTCGAGAAAAGACAAAAGGGTTTCACTATTTACAATCTTTGTGTTTAACCAAGCAAAAACGTGTAACTTTAGCTTTGTGTTTAATGACATGGAGACAGGTGCACATGTCTCAGCATAGTCTCAGCATAAAACTAATAAAACTATTTTGTCCCCAATAGTTTTATTAGGGACAAAACTATTGTCCCTAATAGTTTTGAACATTTCACACCTGATTTTTTTGGGGGGTACGAAAAGGAACTGTTTTCCATGAGACCATTCACACAGACTCTTGTATATTTTGAATAAATGCTAATACTTGAAAGGACCAATTTAATACCAGTTTTGCACAAAGTACATTGTATGAAGTTTCTGGAATGAAACAAGGTATAAAGTGCTTTTTCGCTTCAGCTGGGTCATTTACAATCTTTGTGCTTAGCCTAGCCTGCCTAGCCAACCTGCCACTAGCTTTTGCTTTATGTTTATTTTGCCGTGTATTTTGGAAAACCCAACGTTTTCCGATATGAAGTGGAGATGTTTTGCGCCAACCGCAGAAGGGAAACAAGGGATTTGACTTTCCTGATTTGGAAGAGTAATTTGAAAGACTGATATGGTTCTTACATTTCATCAGTAAATGAAATGCTAATGCTACCAAGGACTTTTGTTGAAATATAGAGTTTGTGGGATAAATCAGAAACGATATAAATTGCATATCAGCATTAGGTGTTACACTTGAGTCAGACCAGATAAACAGTTTCCACATTTCCAGTCTTTGTCAACCAAGTCAACCTCCCAGTAACTTTAACTTTAGCTTTGGGTTTTTGCAATGATGCAAGAGGTGGAGGGGCGCAGGTCTTTTTTCCCTTCGTCAATTCATACCTTTTGGACATATTAGCTACTCTTAAGCTGAGCCATCATTAGAAAGCTAATGTGTTGCTAGCTTTAGCTTTGTGTTCACTTTGCTCCATTTCCATTTGTAGTTTTTGTTGTTTAGCAGTTTGTCAAGTAGAACTGAGAAACTTCTCAGATCACATCAACTTTGACAATTTAAAGACAATATCTGTGATTTACAGTCTGCTACACATAGGAGGGAAAAAATGGTTTTATGTCCATCAACGGAACATTATTTCGAGTTATCAGGCTTTTAGGATCATAAAAATCAACTAAAGAAAGAAACAGAAATAGGGTACCATAAAAAAGATTGAGCATTTATTGAATTATTTCTATAATTTAACAAAAAAAAATAAACTTGGCTACAAATCATGTTTGTAGTAGCATGTAGGTATGAATTGGCAAAGGAGGGAATTGACCAATCAGAGGCATCAATCTTCTCAGTTCATTCTTAGTAAGAAGGCTAAAATGGACATTTCTCAGGAGGTAAACAGAGGAAACGCTCGACTGAAGGAGAAACATTTATATGTGCAACATCAAAGGTGAACACAGCCACTGACACATAGACATTTAGATTTACATTATAGTATATAGAAAATGTTTACTTTCAGAAAGTTACATAGCCAGCGCTCTTGGGTTCGTGTGAGTTGGAGTACCTGGCAGACATCTAATCAGTCACTATTCTAAGGTGCGAAATTCTGCAGCAGCATTCATTGCTCCACGTGAAATCCATTTGCACTTGCTGTGGCAGGTGTTTTAAAGAGACAACTTACAGTTGTTTTTTTTTTTTTTGTTGGAAAAAAATATAAAAAACATACAAAATACGAAGAAAGAAAATGTTAAAAATCATTTAAAATCTGTCAGGAATTGGCCTATTGACTAAGATATTGTTGGAGTCATAATTCTGGCTTCACTCTGTTGCTGGTACTGTGTCACCATTACACTTAATGGTCCACACCAAGTTAGGCACCAAGACAGGAAAGATTTGGATGTAATTTGATCCGCATGCAGAGTAGGAAGGATTCAAGTGGGAAAACAGAGGTTTTCAATGTTTTATAACCTGAACCACGTCAGCGATTGTAACAGATTATCACAAAATGACTTAAAAAAAAACAAAAAAAACAAAACATCCGTATCCAGTGGCTGCAGTTCGATGACATACTCTGGTTTTGAAAACTGTATCAGAAGGTCCCTAAAAGTTTAAATTCGGAGCGGGATCAAAATCCACTGCATATAAAACTTTGGTGAAAGTTGTAGTAGAAGTTTTTTTTTTTTTTGCATTTGTGACGAAATCTTTCACACAAACAGTGCTGTACAGCCTCATTTAGAGCTTGAAAGTACAAAATGCAGAAAAATATAGTGTAATTAGTTTCCATTTCTATCTATTTATTTGGATCATTTGACATCTAAATCCTACTGATTTTCAAGCAATGGTTATTGATTTGATTTGATATCATCCCCACATCCGGCAGTGGTTCCAGGTTTGAATCACTGCAAAAGTATTCAGGTTGTTTACAATTGCCAAACAAATACAAAAGATTTCTTCTGGGTATCATTCAAAGCCAAAGTAGCAATAAATGTATTTGAAACAGTAGCTGTGTTTCCATTGAGCATATAGTTGCGCCAATTGGAATTAGGAAAAACAATTTGCCAAAAAGCATGACTTAAAAAAAGAAATCACGTTTTCCAATAAAGTTTTGCATTAGGTGGTAAAACTGCACCGTAGGGTGCATCACACGAGTCATGTGATCAACAGCCAAATGCTAGTAAACAAAGAAAATGATAGGAAGTGGTAGGAAGATGATGGCGTAGCATGTTTTTTAATGAGCCAACTTATTCGTGTGGGATTTCAATTGTTTTTCTTATTTAATGGAAACACCACAATAGCGAAATTGTGTTTGGTTTTTTTTTTTTACATTAGCGGAATGTCAGTAAAGTTTTGTGCACATTTGTGACGAAAAGGCATAAGAGCAGCCAATAGTGGAGCAATGTCTTACAAACATTTACCAAAAGCCTCCTTCTGCAGGTATAGAGTGTTAAAGTGCTTGACAACTTAGTTTGAACAGATACTGTCATTCTGCTAGTAATGCCACATGTACACCCTCTGCAACATGCTAGCTGTTCACTAACTGATCATTCCCGCACCCATTGCTGGTCTGAATGCGGATCAAATTAAGTCCAGTGTTGGTTCTTCCTTCTGTTTGCCTAACTTGGTGTCTAACTCAGTGAGTTTTCTTATGTTGCTTATGGTTTCCAACAAAATATTTCTTTCTTCTGAACTCGCACACAGACTTACATGACTAAAAACACAGTGTAGCACAGTACATAGGTGGCTGAGTGTGGCACGGTATATTTGTTTTTTTTTTCTGTTTTTTTTTCTTTTATTTGTATTTACTGACTGACAGCACAGTGGCGTCGCCAGCATGTGTCATCACAAACTCGTCTCCCTGTCCAGACTCTTGTCATGCCTCCTCCGCTTGTGTCGCTTTTCACCGCTTCTGGCGTAACTTCAGAGGAAGAAAGATAAAATCATTTAAAGCAAATGTAATCTTAGAATGATGCGAAGACAAATGGTTGTTAGGGAACATGCAACAAAACATGCAAATACGTCTGACTGAATATTATGTTTCTGTTTAGTTATAAATATTGCTTTTTGGTTTCATTTGTACAGATTAAACGTAATCACGTTACAACGACAATCTTCAAACACTTAGAAAAAAAATATTAATTCTTTTTGCAAAATTTTATGTTTAGCTTTATTTTAAACCCTCAAAAATAGATTTAAAGTGGCGGTTCTTTTATACTGCAAATTTCCTGATGCAGATATAGAGCTACGTTTATAAGAGGTCTTTTTTAACATTTGCGACTCTAAGCAGGTTATAAAAGTTACAGGTCCCTGTTAAAGTCCTGATGTGGTTGTAACGGAACAAAATGTTGACGGAGTGTGATTTTTTTTTATCAATTAATTGAAAATGTTAAACTAACATGCACAACCTGATGACATGAACTGTTCAACGGAGTCACTAGTCACTTCATACCAGAGTTAACCAAATCGAGACACTCTAGCAGGGGTGTCAAATTTTAGTCCTGCAGCTTTTATTTGTCTCCCTAGTTAGCACATCTGAGTCAAATGACTGAGTTGCCTCTTCAGGATGCAGTTGAGTTCTGCTAATGAGCTAAAAATTTAAATTCAGGTTCGCTGAAGCAGTAACGTGGCTCTGGAGGACTGGAGTCAGACACCCGTGCTACAGACTGTCGCTTCCAGCATGCAACACAAAGTGAGACTCTGCACGGCGACGGGGACTGCTGGGAACAGCTTACCTTTGGGGTATTGGCTTCTGAGAGGTTAGGAAGGGGAGCTTAGGGGCGGGAAGGAGCAAGAGAAGCAGGCAGGACAAACTACGTTAGTCTACGCAGTGGGAAATCTGCAAGGGCACAGCTGCTCTGAAATACACATCCTTATTTTTTACTGGAAAAATAGCAGTTGAGTCACAAACACCTGCCACTTATGATGGAGGTCTTTCCAGAAGAAAAGCATTCAGATTTAGCATCAATAGCAGAAATGCTTATGCAGTACGTTACACATGTGAAGTGTTGGGAATTAGCAGCGTACCTTTTCAATCCCACTTCCTTTTTCGTGTTCTCAGCGGGATTGACGCCCTTCCACACGTTCCCGAAAGATCCCTTAGACATTTCATCGGTGATGTTCACCGTGGCTGGGTCACTCCTTCAAACACACAGTTTCAGTCTTAAGAAATTTAATTTGTTTGCTTTTTTTATTTCATATTCTGATAAAATATCAACACTCAAAGCTTAACTAAAGGTGGAAAACACTCACCTGTAGTGCCCCTCTAGTGGGACTTGAACAATCCCTTCCTCCTCTGCGATAATACTGTGTTCCTCCTGCAGGAAGAGACGAAACAGAGAAAACCTGCAGCAAACTGTGACGCATCCAACATTCGATGCCGTGCTCCTCTACCTTACCTCTTGTGCTGCATCCTCCAGCTTCTTCTTCTTCCACTCTGGCATCAGATCATCCAGCCAGCTCAGCTCTCTCTTGGTGAAGATGAAATCCAGCAACTTGCGAATAAATACCAGCGCCAAGACCTGGAGAAACAGCAAGATGAAGATACCGGGCAGGCGAAGACGGCACAAGCACCGACACAGAGTCAGGTTACCATCATGGGAAAAACGATGGCCGCCCTGGAGGTCTTGATGACCCACAGCAGGATTAAGCAGCTGAGCTGGACGATGGTGAAGAGGTGGACCTTCCTCAGCGGCACGTGTCGAAGGTAGATGAAGTCAGGCTGATGTTTGGCTGGCATGCCGAACAGCTTCAAGCGATCGAAGAACTTCGAAGATACAAGCGAGACTTATAAATGAGTGTTTACTGGATTAGTTCTGGCCCTTGGGGGACTCTGTGCAGGCTCACCTGGATGCCTCTGAGGGAAGACGCTCCCATGTACAGAAAGACGCCGTAGAGGACGGGCATGGGGATGAACTGAGGAGAGACCAGGAGAAAGGTCAGGATCACAACACTTAGAGCTATGCTAATTTAGTGATAGCTTTGTTCCACTTGATAATGGTAAGGTAAGATCATTTTATTTATATAGCATATTGTCAGCAACAAGGCAGTTCAAAGTGCTTCGACTTTAATGTACATCACTGGTTCAAAAGTGAAGTGGTTTAAAATTGTTACGCTTTGATATCTTTTAGCCTACTTTGTGCTGTCTGCAGGGGTCCCAACACAAATTTAAGACTTTTTAAGACCATTATGAATAAAATTTAAGACCTAAACCAACTAAAATGTACAAAAGAAAATTGCATAAATTATATAGTAGTGCCAAGTTGCTGTTTTTTTTAACAGAATGAATGTAGCATCATGCAGGTCAGTGATGCTTTTTATCCAACTGGGGCTAATTTGCACTTAATAATAGATGCAAAAAAGTTAGCTAGCTAACAAGAGCATATTAGCAGCTAATAACCACAGAACGCAATGAAGATGTTCGGAGTGTGACTCAAATGTTTGCCTGACAGAAAAGTCCCACGAGAAAAACAAACTACATTTAGAGATTAAATAGTCCTGCCATGACCATATTGAAGACTATCATTAATGTATTTAAGACTAATTAACATATTACCTTTCTGAAATAGACGAAAGAAATGTGTAAAACTCTAAAAATCTGGATGTTTAATTTCAAAACTGAATTTCTCAGGTTTTCTGTGCAAATCTACCAGCATTTTTGAGTGCTTTTTGACGTGAGCTGAGTAAATACATTGTGAGGGTTTCCTCTGACCTTTAGCACGGAGGTCATGAAGACGGAGCAGCCCATGAGGGTGAAGATCATGAGGCCGGTGAAGCGCTGCTCGCGGATGCCCAGGAACTTGGGCTGCTCTCCGGGAGCCGAGCACTCCGACTCCAGCTTCAGGCTGTTCACATGGGAGATGGAGAGCACGGTGGCCGCCACGAACCACGGCAGGCCCATCACCGAGCACACGCCCAGCATCACCCCCACCACAAACAGGTCCAGGTGGTAGCCACAGCCTTTCTGCAGGGGCCGACAGGGACAGACTTTCAGCGCCGGATGAGGCATCACGCGGCAAAGAGAAGCGAACTTATGCAAACCTTCAGCTTGTGCTCCTTCCTGTTGATAATCACCGCTGTGATCTGCTGGTCCATGAAGATGAGGATGGTGCAGAGCAGAGCGGGGACAAAGGTGACGATGGTGGTCCACCACGGGTTGGGTCCAACCGGGTTTATGACCCAGCCCCGATCGTCTCTAGTTGGCTACCAGGAGTAAAACGGGACATTTTTCTTAAGTAATGAGATATATAAAGATTTTATTCATAAACGTTCAAATAATATTACTTTTCTATGGAACTTGCATGTATAATACTTCAAAATATAGTTTAGTGAAAGAATCTGGTTTCTTTTTAACGTAGGAGCTTGTTTTAAGTCAATTGGTAAATTATTTCACTTATAACGGCCTTTTCCGCATGTTATAAATGAAATAATCTGCCAGTGGAACTACTACTTTTTAAATCAATATTAAGGAATTATTACCGACTTAAAACAAGCTCTTACATCTTGCTGAAAGTAATGTGTAAGTTAGTTTTGTCCAGTTTAAAGTGTACTGTGAAATTTGCACTTGAAAGTGAACAAAGATGATGGTAAGATTTTGTGTTTTTGCGCTGTATGTTACTTTACTTTTTCACACACAAGGCTGTCATGGTGGCTTACTTTGAACTTGTTGGGAACTTGTAATTTAGGCGATGGGATTCCTATGGCATAATCAACAAGGACCATAGTGAGGATAGTGATAAAGACTGCAAAGTCGCTGATGATAGACCTGACCTGGACAGAACAAAGACACACAGATCCTTTAGACAAAGTCCATGTTGAATTCAAACAGAAACATGTACAAAGAGTACCATTCAAGAACACCTCCAAAAAGAGTGTTTATTCAGGTTACCCATGTGTTGTCTATGACCGTGTATCAGGGCCGTTGTATGTAGAAAAACAAAGAGTAAATATTCCACCAAAAAAACTTTTAAATTTTGAGATTGATCTCAGAAATTTTCTACAAAAATATCGGAAATTTCTGACTTTAAAAAGTTGAAAATTCAGAAATGTTCACATTAATCGCTGAAATTTTCTAAAAATAATAGTAATAAAATAAAATAAAAAAACTGACTTCCAAAAGTTTTCCAAAGGCCAAAAAATATTTTCCAGCAACTTTTCAACCTCAAAACTTTTCAGTGATCAAGAAAATTCATGAAATGAATGTCAAAATATGTATTTTTTTTCCTAGCAAAAAATTGCCTTTTCAAACTCAAATTTTTAAATGATTTTTTCTTTTTTTTTAATTTCTGAGATTCTGAGGTTTTTGGCAAAAATGTATTCCTTTTACTTCTATTTACAATGGTCGAAATATGCCATCGCAGTTCTCAGCTGAAAACTAAGGAAAAAAATTATTTAATAATATCATTCTATCAGATTTGTTCCACTGATTTTTAACTATTAATAGTATAGTACTGAAGTTCTGGAATTTTTTCAATTTCTTAATTTTCTAGTAAGAGAAACAAAACAAGCAAGACTAGCAAAAAATAAAGAGCAAGAAAAAGAATAGTTCTTTTAAATCAAAAGAGTGACATTCAAAAAAATCCGATGTTGCAGCATAAATATACAGAAATCCATCAATAAGCGTTCAATATTCTATCTGCAGTGTTACTGCAATGTAACGTTCATCACCACAAGGTGGCGATCAGACGACATGCTGTAGTGAGCCAACATCACCCCACACGTTACGCTGATGTGTGTCATCTCAATGACAACCCATAGAAACTTAGCATAGAATGGCCACACAGACTGCAGGGCTCTCGCTGTGACCCCAGTCAGCCAGTAGATGGCAGTGTATGCTAATGATGTGTCAGGCAGTTTCTGTATTATGAAGATTTCAAAACTAAATGGAGGATTATAAATTAGTGAAGTTGGTTTCATTCTGCAGCTGGCAGGCCCTTAAAAAGGCCCGTTGTGTGAGCAGAGAATTGATATTTTAAAACGATGGTGAGAGTAGCCTATTTTCCAGATGGAAGTAAAGTTTGCATTTTATTTGCAAACCAAAGTTCAAGAGTTTAGACAAAGATTGGAGTTGCACAGAATCCATTTTGCTGGATGATTTGATTTCATCTGCTGGTTCTGGTCCATCAGGTGTTCTGAAGTCTTCATGCTTCTTTCTGCTGACAAGGCAGATTTCATTTTCCCAAAGGGCTTGGTACCCAAACTGCCAAAGAGACTAAAATCTGGTTCACTGAACATGACATTACTGTGGTTGAAGAGTTAGCAAACAGGCCTGAGAAAATCTACGGATTATTGTTGAGAGGAAGATGAGTGACAGCAGATGGCACAGAAATTAACACATTTCTCAGAAAAATTAAACGTGTTTAATTTTTTAAAATTGACCTAATATTGTAATTTTCTGAGACACAAAATTGTTTTTTATTCTCTAAAATTCACTATTGCAAGATACAAATGCTTGACATATTTCACTAGATGTATAATAAGTCTATATAATATATGTTAAACTGTACTTTTACTTAGTAATGGACAATAAGTTAACTTAATCTTGATTTAATGTTGAGGGGAAATATAAAAGTGGCTCGAAAATAGAGCCCTGAGGATCCCCAAATGTATGTGTGATTATTTTCAGATAAAATTGCCAAAATAGTCCTTGACTGCTGTTTTACTAGTATTCTGCTCTGAAATCTCATCAAACAATATTTTAAACCAGTAGCATATATTAAATGATGAGTTGAAATTTCTGGGGTTTTTTACACATTTCTTAAAGATCTGGCCATCACATACTGTTCTTTTGCATTTACAAGACCTCAGACTTAACTGTGGGTGTTTTTACACCTTATAGTCCGGTAGACTCGGTTCAACTGGGGAGCAAAATTGCATTTGTTACATTTTGTATGTCTGTGGCATACTGTCTAAGCCACAGAGACTAAAACTCAACTCAAAATTAACAAAAAATATAAAATGATTGTCAGTTTGCGCACCTTGGTGGGGAAGTAGCGGCTGAACTTGAACTCCTTCAGGAAGGCTGACATGAAGACTGTGGTGAAGAAGAGCACCACACACCAGAAGAGGACGTCTGGGATGTAGGGGCCGTGGTGGCCACAGGCGGGCCCCTGAAACTCCCCATGTAACACCTCACACTCCTACTGGCCCCGGTGTGAACGGAGATGATGATGATGATGGATGTGGTAATAAAGGGCAAAGAGACGAGGAAGACAGTCGTTGAGGAAAACGATTTACAGGGATGTGAAACAGCATTTGGCTCAGTGGAGACATTCTTGTATAAATAAATGGGTTCTTTACCTTGACCTCCAGTGAGGTCCAGTTGACCTGGGAGACTGTAATGTTCCTCTCATCCCAAAATTGCAGGGTCTCATTGCTCGGGTCCCTAGGCTCAACACAGCTACACCTGTTTGAGATAAAATAATCAATACGCTTTAAAAAGTCCTTTTCTCACATTAAAATCTCCATTTACTAGTAAAGCATCAACCACAAACTGTCTCCTTTACCACTAAACCAAGACATAGCTGCGGTACTTTAGCATGTTTTGGCCAAAAATGCTGAGCTAAGTACACTCTGCAGATTACATATGTAATCTCTTTGTATAGATTTAGAACTGAAGATTACTGGGATCATGTGCTTTCTGCTTTGCCACCTACAGGACAGAGACACTTGCCAGTACTGGGTGAGCTTCTGCAGGTCGTTGTGTTTGTTGACCGGATAGTGCACCCCCAAGTGAATCAGCTTCTCCAGGGCCTCGTAGATGAAGATGATGCAGATTAGTGCGGCGAAAGCCTCTTCAGTGAAGCGAGTGATGTAGCAGACAAGCGAGCTGGCATCTGTGGCCACCAGCAGCAGGCAGAAGAAGGCCGTCCACAGCCCAATGCAGGTCCTCAGGGAGAGGTAGGACAGGCCATATTCCCTGAAGCGCACACACACACACACAAGAATAAAGCACCAGAACTGGCAGAAGCTAACATGCAGTGTTTTACCAAATGAAGTGAAGGAAGGAAGAACAAAAGAGAAAGAAACGAGGACTGATGGAAACAAAGGGGTAGAAAAAGAAGAAGCCTACTTGCAAAACTTGAAAAGGATCTTCTCAAAGACGAGGACGGGCCCAGTGCTGCCCAGGATGGTGAGGGGCTGACCGGCAAACAGAGAGTAGGCTATCCCGGTCATTGAAGCCCCAAACAGAGACTCGATGGCACTCTGGAAGAACCGAATCCAGAGTTCTGATTAACTTAGTGACACCAAACCTTAGAGGTTTGAAGGGACTGTTATTTTTCATTACATGGCATGTACAAACATGTTAAGGACAGCTAAAAAACATATTGAATATTGGGAAAGAGTTTCACATTTTTGTTACTCATTTTAATCATTTTGATGATTATGACTTAGTCAAAGTCTGATGCATCTATTCCTAGCAAATATTTTCCTTCCACTCATCTTTCTGAACATGCTGTAACTTCGTTGCCGTATTGTAATTTTCTATATAGTTTCACCTCCTAAAATGAGTAAAAATTTTATTTATTTTCACAAATTATACAAGAACATGAAGGGATCGAATCAGTGATTTGTCAGTAAAAAAAGGTTATATTTTGTAAAACATAAATAATAAATGATATCTGCTCATGGTGGCTGCTGACACTGTAGATTGTAAATCTCTGATTGGTGCATCTCTCATTTATAGACTTTGGAACTGGAAACTTACCACGCGGCCCTCTGTGGCTTCGCCCAGGAGTCCTCCAAAGGTAATAACAGGTGACATGCAGGCGCAGTACAGGAAGAGGAAGGAGGCCAGACACTGGAGGCTGATGGCGTCTGTGTAGTCTGAAAGGTAGTGAGGGGCTTTTCGCTTGATGTCCAAGATCATTCCACCAAATATCCTGCAGTGACACAGCCATGTTAAAGGGGTAGCATTGTGCATTTTCCAGGCACATAGTACCATTTAAATTCCTTTAGTGGTAAAGGAGACAGTTTGCACTTAAAGGCAATTTGAATTTGTAATTTGATGCTTTGGAATTGGGCCTCTGTCTCTTTAAAAACTCCTGCTCTTTCTGAAATGCTGCCTTCAGGAAGTCATCACAACATCTCTCCTCTTATAACCCTTTAACTAGGTTTCTACCAGCGTTGTACTGAGAAGTAGCTCACATAATGAGTTTGGCTAATGTGCAGCTCCACCAGGTGTTTGCTAATTGCTAATGGCTAGTCTGAAGGAGCTGAATGTGGGAGTCACGAGCAGATAGTTTGCATCCTTAAAATGAATCAACTAAAGGTGAAATTAGTTATTCTAGGCTCTTTGAAAGAAAGTGATCTGGCTCCATTCAGAAAATTATGGTTATGTTTTTTGTTTTTTTGGGTTTTTTTTTTGAGATTTCAGACTGTTGTAAATCCTCATATACCCGTTTATGACACAATTATTAAACAATACTAAAATCAGCAGCAATTGGGACAATATTGATTCTAATTATGTTTGCTGCAAAGGTGCCAAAAAGTAGTTTTTTTCCCCCCCATTTATAGAAATTTGTAAATTTATAGTAATGAAAAAGCATGTACCAATAGCCTATCCATCCCTTTAATAGAGTTAAATCAACCACACACCAACAAAACTCCATTATCTTGCCTGCTAAAGAGTGTCACAACATACCATTACTACAAACTGTCTTGATCAATGAGTTCTACCATTTCTTGCTCTATCAGGTGAGCAGTAGCGGCTGGTAAACATGTTAGCTCATGGCAGGTGGCCGTAGCCAAACACTAGCTCTCCCACTTTCAGTTGATTCACCAAATTAAACATCGGTAAACAAAGCTGGAGTTGCAAAGTGACCCCATGCTGGGTTTGCCTCTGACAACTGTGTTGCATCAAACTGCAACGGTGAGGTACTGTCGGAGCAGGTTGCCGTGACAACATTGGGTGGGCTGCTCTGCTTATGTGAGTCCTAAGAGCATGGCGGAAACGGCAGTGGCTGACCAACAAGACTGAGCTTAAGGTTCAATCATAGAAGCAAAATGTGTGCAAGCGCACAAAATTTACTCCAAAGCCTAAAATCTGTGACAGTAAATGGATCAACGTCTCATTTACCGACATGACATTAGACACTAGATCTACTTCTGAAGGTTTTATGTGAGTTTTTCTGAGTAACTTTGGGGGTTGAGGGTTAATGGTACTAGAACTACCAGAGGAAGTTCAGTGTTTATTTGTTTAATGTTCAATTTGGGCTGGATGATAGATTTTAGTTGCCCATAATCAAAGAGTTTGTTATTTTTTTCTATATGATTTACCCCTTTACTATTCTAGGTGGAAAACTTAAGAGGCCTTTTATTTTGAAGAATGTCTGGATAGTTTCAAATGATGAGTGTGAATTTAATGCAAAGACAACTGAAAACAAAAACAAACATATGGCTTCATCTGGAGAAAAATGCTACAACTCTGAAATCCGTCAACGTCTAAAAGGAACGTTTTTTCTTTATGGTCTAATAAACGGCAACCAATATGCAATGAAGTGATATTAAAACAACCTCTGTTTTGAGCAGTGAAGAATGACATTCCCCCAATAGGATAGTCTGCATACTAGACAAGCTAAATTAACAGTTTGGGAGCAGCGAAGCAGCTAATAGGCGACAGGAAGACAGGCACAGAGAATAGCTTTAAGAAGTGACAGAGTCTAAACGGTAAATTATTCCGTTGGTCTCCGGCGCTCACCTCCCCGTACGCTGGAGCTCAGGGCCACCATGTCCTCCGTGCTCCTCAGACTCTCCAAGATCCGTCACTCCGTTGGGAACGGGGGGGATCTTTCGCTTTTCCTGTATGGTAAACATCACTGTCAATCAAACGCTGGGTATATGCCAGCTTTAAAGTGCAGCCTAATTTGCCCTATGACAAACACAAACAGGCACAGCAGGGCATTTCAACTGGACATATAAAGGCTGCAGTTAAAAAGAAAAAGTGCTCAGTGTCCTACAGGGGTGTTTAACGTTCAATACAGATTTTTTGCTTTTAACAAATAAATACAAGATAGAAAAATTATGTTTCTGACAGTCTAAAATTTTCACATCATGTACAAATGATGAGAGCGTTAAGAGACGTTTAGTTTGTTGTGACCCTGACTGTTTCAGAAAGAAGACTGTCACTGTTTTTGAGTCTGATAAGCAATTTAAAGAGGTCTCAAAAGAGTTTTAACCAAACAGAAAAGAGTAGACAATTGGGAGATGTTCAAAGTAGCTGCCATTCTATCAACTTCATCCTGAAAGCAGACTGCAAGATGCTAAAAGAAGAATCCAAAATTGCTACATTTTGAATTTACCTGAGAGGGAACATTCTTCGGCGGCTCTATTCTGATGGAGGGGTCCCACTCGCCGGGGGGCAACACGGTCACCTGATCCAAAAACTCGTCGATTCCTGCCACCAGGTCACTCCTGTCTTTGGCCTTATAGGCGACATCATGGAAAATCTGTATTTTTGACATTAAATATGTATTTTCGTTAATGTGAAAATGAGCTTCGCAATTACATATGACCTGATCAAAACAAAATCCAAGCTTTATATCTACACAGTTTCATCCACACAAGATTACATAAAATAGGTCTAATTTTTCTCTCTACTAAATATTCCACTATCATCTGTTAGTGGAAGCAATTACAACAGCAACTACAGACAGTGGAAGGCCATGCAAAATCCTAAAGTGGGGTCACAGGATGCCGAGGGAATGAGAGCGTAGAGGTCACCAACTTTCTGCAGTTAAGAGCTTCAGACCATGAAAACTTTGTTTGCACACTAACAGTACACAGAAAGCTTCATGTAATGGGTTTCCATGGCAGGCCGGCTGTATCACCGAGTAGAATCAATGGAAAGTGCTAGATGCAGTGGTGTGGAGCATGCCGGTCCTGGACGGGATCGGAGTGGAGGAGCCAAATCACGCCTCTCCATCTGGCAATCGGATGAAGGCATCAGGGTTTGGCAGTTGCCAGGGGAACGACACTTATCTGACTGTGTTGTGTCAAGAGTAAAGCTTGATGCAGACTAGAGGGGATTATGGCGTGGGGCTGTTCTCCAGGATTTGGACTGGGCTTCTTAGTTCCAGTGAAATAATCCTTAATGCCGCAGCATACCAAGACAATTTGGCGACAACAGTTTGGGGACAAACCCTTCCTGACAGTAAGACGACTGTCCACCAGAGAGCAAAGCCATCCACATGAAGACATGAACAACTGGGAACTTGACTGGACTCCACAGGGTCCTGCCACATCCCTGTGGGACACCTTTAGGATGAATCACAGCAGGTGATGCAGTGTGTGATCTCGATTCCTTAAAGTACAGTTTGTGATCTGTGAAACTGTTATGCCATTTGTTTTCCCCAATATTGCAAAAGTTTTTTTCTCATCACATTCTCACGATTAACATTGTTTATTATCTCATCTGGAAATCTGGATTTATTGCTACACCCCTACTACTAACCCGTCATAATTTCTATAGGCCACTGAAAATGTCAGACTCAGTTCAATTCAAATGATTCATCATGTAAGAATGTACAGAATACAGAAAACTATTGTCCACACACACAAAAAGCTAATCACTATGTTCTGTAGGTTAACATCTGTAAAGTATTTTTATTTTTATTATGGGTCAACTGTCAACACAAAAAACCCATTTGGCACAGACAATGATGAGTAACTACAATGAAGTAGCTACTCATCATCTAAAAAATCTAGAATAAGATTTTTTTATTTAAATTATGGGAATAAAGTCATAATATTAGCAGTACCAGTACAAAGCTGTTTTAATGAGTGCAAAGCTTCTAGTGAGTTATCAAGATCTGTCGGGTCATACAGTCCAAGATTCTTCTGTTGGCACAAACATTTCAAGGCCCTTAATAACTGGATGATGATGTTAAAAGATGAAGTATTTCATAATTTCTAAAACTGATACCAAGGCATAACTTCAAAAGATGCTCAACATTCTTTATTTTATCTTTTTGTGGAGGAGGAATTTTCAAAAAATTATTACTTTATTCTCCTAATATATAATCTTATTCTAATTTATTATGACTTTTTTCTGGTAATACGTTTTTCTCATATTGTGTCTTTATTCTCATAGCATCTGGCAATCTGGATTTATTGCTATACCCCTATTAAAACAGGTAGAATTATGACTTTCTACTCATTATTACAAGTTTGTTTAAAATGAAAAAATATTTCTTTATTGCTTATAAACTATAAAATATAGCTTATAAGCTGCTTTTTGGGTCTTGACTACACAGTTGCTACAAAACGCTTTGTTGAGAATAATAAAACATAAATACATTTTATTCTAAATAGATTTCAGTTTGTTTTTGGCGATGCCTCACCTCATCAGTCATCAGGGTAGCAATAGATCGCCCAATTTCATGATACTGGGGACCTTTACCCAGAGGTCCCAGGAGGATGAACAAGAACCTGTGCAACAAAAGCAACACGTTCAGACCTGACATGAAAAACGGCGTCTAGAAGAGAAACCAAACTGCAGGACTTTCAGTCGATCACCTGGTGGTGATGGGAACTTCGGTAAGGCCGTTGAGCAGCACAGCTGGAGACAAGCGGACAAAGGCCACCACTGGGCGGTCCAGGAACTCCAGCTCCCCAACCAGCACATTGGACGCCTCCGCTCCAGGAGGGATCTTCTTCATGAAATGGAGGTCAATCTGTGACAGATAGAGGCAAACGGATCAGGCATTCTGTAAACAAACATAGAATTAAGGTAGAATCTGAATGGCATGGCTAAAGAAAACACTGTCTGATGCCATTTGACGCCAGTCAGGTTACCTTTGTGAGAAGCTGCTGGTGACCATTTCACACACGTAACCCCAGACTGGTTAAACACACAGCTTGTTATGTGTTCGGCTCTCACCGGCCAAAGACAAACAAGAAGAGCAGTAGTTGTTCTGCCTGCTCACCTTACTGAAGTCCACAGCACTGTTTTCTCGACTGACGTCCTGTTTGGCCTCGTTGTTGGACGGCTGGGACTGCGGTGAGACCGTTTGGCCTATCGGAGAGCAGGAAAATAATATCAGCTTTCACAAGAACTGCTTTCCCAAACAGAGACACCACTGGGAAACGGCGCGCTACAGTTACAGCCTCTGGAAGGCGAGTACGTTTTGCCCTCGCTGTTGCTGGATCTTTATTGGTGAAAACTAGTGAGAAAGCCCAATATTTATGTTTTATTGTTAAACCATCTGATAAATACTGAGTTACAACTTGTAGTAGGTTTTGAGTTTTTTTTATAAAATCAAACTAAGCTTCTAGCACTTTAGTGTGGATGTCGGTGGCCTAAGGAACATTGTAGACTTAAAACATGCATCAGCGTTGCCTCCATGTTGTGAGTAATAGTTTTGTCAAATAAATAATTCCTGCAATAAGATGCCCAGCAGACCTGATTCTAGCTACAAGGCGGGTCACACTCATTTTCATTCTGGGCCAAATAAACTTAATGAATCTTCTCAAGGGCTGGTTGTGCCAGAACGTATGGATAAAACCTATTAAACTGCTAAAATATTAATAAACAGCTTTCTCTGCAGCTGATAAATCATAATGAACATCTTTTCACATCCAGGATTTCACAGGTTTTGTGTTGTTAATTTAGAAATATTAACCACACAACAAGACTTTTTGTTACTTGCCACATCGATCCCATAATGCAACTTGACATTTAGTAAGGCTGAGGCAACAATGTAGCAAAAGTAAGAAGTACTGCCACCTGCAGGTGGGAGTTAGTCACTTAAACCCAATGTTTTTGACCATTTTTGCGAAAAATTTGCAATGAACTCACAATTGACATGTGGCGAAAAGTGTGACAATAAATATAAAAACAGGTATTTGACTATCGACAGCTCCGTGTATGTGTGTGTGCGTGCGTGTGCGTGTTTACCGTTCTTGTCCATGGAATGAGGCTCGGACTGCTTCTTGCCAATGTCAGCGAAGGAGCGTACGATGGGGATGCGGTTGGCCAGCTTCTTGTGGTTTTGGTGATGGTGCTGCTTGAGCAGGGCCTCACGGATCCTCTTCCGGGCATCCGGACCCAGAGAGCCGGACCCCTCGTGCTGATCCAAGACCATATCTGACAGATAAAAGAAAAGCACACATTACGCAAGAAAAATAAATAAATTATGGTCAGTTATAAAACTGCTTCCCCTGGCTCTGCATGATCAGCCAGCAACACTAAGCTGATCATACCCAAAAAAAACAGCAAACAAACAAAGAAAAAAAAAAAAACTGACCCACTGTGGGTGATTTAATTGTGCCGGATCAGGTTTTGTTCAGGCGATTTCTGCAGCGGCGCAGATAAATATTCTCTCCCCGCAATGACCTCAAAAACACACCGGCAGCTCCGTGATGTCTCCTGCTTTGATTTTATTTAGGTCATTCTGACTGAAAAGTAAGATCATTCTTATATCAACAGAGTTAATGCATGGGGGGAAAAGAAAATAGGAGCAACAAAAGTGAAACCCTACTGACATGTAGCTGCAGCAAAGACACCATTAACTCCACTTGTAACATTGTATTTAGTTGGTATTTTATGTGAAAGACAAATGCAATGAATTACTAACTATATACGCTTTACAAATAAAAATAAGTATTTGTGTTCTATGATTCTAAATATTCTAAATGTTCTGTCAAACTCCACTTTTCCCCATTTTTGCCGCAAAATACTTAAATCTCTGTTTGATTTGAATGGATCAAGTCTGTGAACATCAGCGTTTAAGTGTTGCCTCATATTCTCAATCAAATTTTAGGTTTGGACTTTGACTAGACCATTCTGACACATGGATGTGCTTTCATCTTAGATATTGTATTTTTAGCTCAGTGCTGAGGGATCAATAGCTGGATAAAATTCTGCAAATTGGAATTATGAAAATAATTTTTGCTTATTGGAAACACCAATTTCGACAACTTCAAGTTTTTTGATAAAAATTTTTGAGGCGGTTTTTCGGCCGTATCAAAATTAAACACGGTGTAATTTGTGGTTCTGATAAAATGTGAAAAAGTTCAAAAGCGATGAGGAATGAGACAAAGCCACCAGGTTCGCCTGCGGCGCTCACCTGCGATCTCCTCCAGTGAGTTGGCCCGCATGTCCAGCATCACGATGCCGTTCATGATGCAGCTCCGCAGCTCAAACAGGCTGTGCAGAGACAGGGTGGCCACGTAGGGCTTACTCCACCGTTCGCCGCCGTCTTCAACATCCTCTTCGAACTTCAGCCACCTGGAAACAAGTTCAAAGAGTTGAATAATGCTTAAAAAAAAATCTCTTTCCACCTATTTTCAGACAGACAGAAAGCGGATAAAAGAAATTCACCTAGCCGTCTCTTTCCATTCGGCGTCCTCGCCCTCCCTGAGGCAGATTTCGTCCATCTCAGTGAACAGGGCGTGAGGGATGTGCTCTTCGTCGCCATCCTCTGTGCCCAGAAGGAACTGCACCCTCTGAGCTGGAGTGTCTATGCGGCAGAAGTTGATGGAAAAAAAAATGAAAGAAAAACAAACAAAAAAAGGATTTCACCAGTATTTCCTTGGAGGATGGACATTTGAGGTACCACATTCAAAGAGCTAAAGCTAAAGAAGCTGGCTTAAAGAAGCACAGCATACTGAAAAAAAGTTGCTACGAGGACACAATAAGTTATTTGAACATAAAGATTACAAAGATTTCCATTTAAATAGCTTTGAGTTCCCAGCGTTTCTGAAGTTCAGCTCTACACGTCACTATCACTTACTATATGAGGGGGATTCTCGCCCGTCTTCCCCTGTGGAGTCCCTCTCCTTGGACCTCTTCCTGTGTCTGTGTCCATGGTGACGGTGTCGACGGTGCGACCTCCGACCCAAGGGGACGTGGACTCCAATGTAGAGAGTGCGGTGACCTGAAACCAAGATGACCAATCTCAGAAGTTATAACATTTTGATATAGATTCATAACTTCTTTTTCTCCCCTTTAGCTTTGATCAACATGTTAGGTTAGCGTTGGAGGCTAGCTCATTTTAACCATAATATTCCCTTGAAAAGTAGATACAATATAGAGGAACTAGAAAGATAACCATAGAAAAAACAGTGATTATTAAATGTTAAAATAATTTAAATGATCACCTTTTAGAAAAAATTGGAAAGAAAATACTACAAAATGTAAGTTATTTGACATAAATTCCAAACAATCTTTACAATATCATCAAATCCCACTCTGATTTTGTGCTTACCTAATTAAAAGTCCATATTGTTAAAAACTACATAGCCTCTCTTAGTAGCATGTAGCAGTAACATTGGTGCACTCTATAGTTAAGCTTCAAAATAAAAGTCCGTTTTTCAAAACAAAAGTAGGATATCAATTATTTTTTTGATTGGACAAAGAGGTCAGAGGTCATTTCTGGACTGAAAATTGTCTAAATATTATGCACATTTTGTTGGCCTTTTCCTTAATGGGAAGCGCAATCTGCAGATTGTGGCCGCCACGATTTGTAACTTGAGCAATGTGTTGCCTGTCATGCTTCTCGCCCATATTCAGCGTGTGAAATTGCTGTCAATCTGCTCCAGTTTCAACTGACAGTGAATAATTTCTCAGGAAAAGTGTGTGAATTTTTGGCAGCCAAACAGAATTTGGCTTCACTGGAAAAGCAAAACAACGAAACAAAGTCAATTTGGACAATAATAAGTGAGGGTCCAACATTCCCATGAGTCAACTGAACTGTTGGATGTACTATGTGCCACTTTACTATTAAATGCTACTTTAGTTTCCAAGCCTTAATGTATTTAATATGACTGTGATGATACATTTTGCTAGATGATAAATTGCCCCAGAAATTATTGTGATAAATGATAATATTGTTGCTCTATCAGTAAAATAATGATAGTAGAATAATTCATTTTTGCCCTCTCAAATACTATTAAAACTTGTATTTTTAAAGAACACTTCAACTGGAAGATATCTTAAATATCCAAAGCAAAACACGACAACCAAATATTATAAATAAAACAGAATTTAAAAAAATACACACAACTGAAATCATCAATAAAATAGATTAAGAAGTTTCTGAAAACAAAACTACCATGAATCATCTGAAGGGACATTATCAAGATCATTTTCATTTATCATCCGAATAATTGACTGATTGCTTATTGCGACAGGCTTAACTTTACTGTACAAAAAACAAGCCTATTATATCATTTATTACTGTAAATGTCTTTTATCTTTCATACTTTTCTGAAACCTTGAAGTTGTTCATGTCTATGCCTCTCAGGATTCCCAAGACTTGACACTGAATGTACATCCGGTACTCTGATATAAATAAAAAAATCTATTTAAGACACGTTCATAGCTTAAAGGTGGAAGAAAAAAGTGATTGGAAAGATGCAAAGAAAGAAAAACAGGCTCTGAATAATGTAGTAATGTCTTTCCGTAGATGCCATGTCATCTAGCAAGCAGGCATGAAGCCTCAATTAAAGGAGAGAATGGCTGCCTTCAGGCCTGCTGTGCTCGTAATGAAAGCCTCCTGTCCCCTTTCAAGAGAATGAAATTGATTTTGAAGATTACCACCGTAATTGGAGTCATTTTCATTTTGGTATAATACAGATAATGAATGTCGTACTTTGAAAGGACAAGGCGCAGTGCGAGGATTACAGCCTCGTTCTCATGTCTATGTGGAGAAACACACATGAGCTTGCATCCACAGGGTGAGCGTGAAGAGAATCTGAGCTGACTCTCTCTTCTTTTATTGCGGTCGAGCAACGGGGGCCACCATTTATTTCTCCCTGATGGCCCTCGGCTGTCTGGACAAAAACAAGGGCACTAAACATTACCTTCTGCACTATACTTTGAGGTACTACTAGATGTCATTTTAAAAACATGCAACACTTTAGTTGCACTTTTCAGTTTATTGCATATACTCCAGTGAAATTTGTGGTTTAGGGATCCACTCTTTTTCACTTCTGATACCGTTATCCAATATTGGATGTTTAGTATCAACCGATATGGATCCGATACAGGATCATGGAGCTGAATTGACTTAAAACATTTATTGTTTTTTTTAACACAGACAAATTAATTGCAAATTTATTTGATAACTTTGTGTCACTACAATATACCAAGCTTGGTCAAGCATGAAAATACAACACAACTTTAATTTGTTCAGTCAGTGCAATAGGAGTATAGCAGTCAATGGAAAATAAGTAATAAAGAAATTGAAGCTGATAACAAGAGGTTGATGACTTTGGTCAAACATGTAAAAATAAACTGCAATAAATCTTTGAAATGGTTCAGAAAGTGCAACATCCGATCTAGAACTAATAAAGATAATATCGGATCGGTGCATCTCTAGTTGAACTGTAACAAAATGTAGAAAAGCCAAATGCACTGTGCAAGCTCGACAGCAGCAACTGATGATGGCTAGCTAGTTAAGATATTTGATCACCGTCCGAGTCTAATAATTTCCACCAAAACGGCAAGAGTGGCTTAGTTTGCGTTAAATAAGTGATGAGACGGTGTAACACGGTATTACTGAGTGCAAAGCACCGCAAGCACAGGTTTAGAGTTTATCTGACCCAGATTTTACAAGCCGCCCCACCTTCTTGTTTTATTACTGGCTCAGAATGCAAAAGGGTTTCCTTCTGAGCTTTAAGCAAGAATAAATTATAAAAACTTGCAGCTATTCTCTCAAAAATGATGCTGAATTCAAAGACTTGTTTAATAAAGAATATGCCTGACGGATTACTTTCCAGGGTGAAACTGTATCTCTACTTGCTTGAGCACAGTTACCTCACAATCTCAAGGGACTCCAGAAACCAACAGGAAGGCAGAAATAGAGGTTAAACGAGATTATGTACTACGTCAAAATATATTTGTCACTTTGACAGGCTTGATGCTGTCAGCGCATGTCTTACAGTAGATGGACCTGTCCAGAGCAAACTGCTCTTAGCGCTCAGTAAATTATGCATGTGGGAAGCAATAGGAAGAGGTTGGAAAGTCACTGTGTGTGCAGCAAATTTTCCTAACCGCGTAGTTATGAACCAGATCAGAAGTGATGTAGAGGAAGGAGACATGATGGGAGGGTTTTGTATGTCAGTGAGTCAAGACTTGTGTGTGGTGGGCTTTATAAAAATAGCTTCCCTCTTCCAGGCATGACCAACTGCTGATGTCATATGATGTTTCCTTTTTTGTCTCTTCCTTTTTGTCCCCCCATTCCCTACCTAAGCAGCTTTTTGTCCATCAAAGCTTCAGTTTACACGGTAGTTTGTGGTTTGATTACAACCACTTAAGATGAAGACACAACGTTTTCAACAGTCTTAATTAAAAATCTAGAAATGTATGACATCCAATTGATTTTATGGAAACTCAGTCAAATTAAAGGATATGAAGAATGTTCATATTGAAGAGTAAAAGAGTGATTCAGCTAAATTCAACTGAATGTTCATCATAAAGGGAAATTGAGCTAGTAGATGATATTATTGGAGTCTTAAATCATCAAACTAGACAACTAGGCCATCAGAAAAAAGCTGAAGAAAAATGGCGAAAGATGAGAATACTGCAACTTGCTAACCATTAGCTGCTAATGACGCAAAAGCTTTCTGCTTTATCTTCTCCTGTCATTGCCAAACTAAAGGGCTACTTTACAGGTTTTTAAAGTTTAGTTTTAAAATGTAATACACTTCAACCAGTCTCTCAAACCGTGGTCCCCCGTCCACTGGGGGTCTGTGGTGCCCCTAGTGGCCTGCGAGGACTGCATGCAAACAACCATTTATTTGTTTACATACAAAGTGCAGTGCTACAGTTAGCTTAGCAAAGGTTATCTTCAGGCTTTTGTTAAAAGTAAAGTACCAGTGGAAAGTTTCTCAGGGTGAGTTCCTTTGCCACAGGCATGTGGCTGTGCTGAGTGTGATGTGATGACGACAGAGGCGGTGAACATAGCAGCACCCTGCGCTAACTAACTGCATCTTAACACATAAGTAGGATTTAATGTATTGATACTCGTGGATGAAAAATCAATCATTTCTGAGGAAGAAAATATCAATAAATATCATAGAATCGATAAAATTACACAGCCCTAGTCCTCAGCCTGAAAAAGTTTGAGAAACACTGACTTAGATCAATCAAACCTGAATTAAATTCATTAAAAAAAAACTTTCAACCTGTGTAGAAACAAAGACAGAATAATTTTAGTGCTTTTTTGGTTTCGGAACCAATTAATCGAGGCCAAAAATAACCATTTTTGGACTTTTCAAACCAGGACAGGAATAAATGAAACCTATTTTACTCCATGTTTTTCTAAACCCAGCATGATGCATCATCTGTTACATGAGCTGGATTTCATTGTAACATCCCAACCAGAGTGTTAGAAACAGCATGGGGCTGCACCGCTCAGCATTCAGATAAAGAACTTCACAGAGAACATTTCTCAGTGTGACGATAATGTTTGTCACATTATCTGTTATGCTTTTTCAAAAAAAAAAAAGTTTTAGAAGAACACTTTATGCTTTTCACACACAAAACAATAAATCATAATTTAATGCAGTGCTGTGAAGCCGTTTGGCTTTACTGTTGAATTATAAGTGACGGTCTGCGGTGCTGAAGATGTTCTGACACTTGATAAGACCTGGATGATTCATCAGTGCACGTGTTTATTCAGTTTATTTGCTTGATTTTAAAATCTGTTATCTGAAACGTGTGATAAAACACACACACACGCACACACACACACACACACACACACGCGCGCGAACCAAATACTTTTTTCACAACGATTTATGAGGGGCTTTAACTAGACAAACAGAAGCTCCTTTATAGGCTTTTAATAGTCTGTTTTGAAAATATATCAGTGATCCTATTTTAAGCCAATAGTGACACATAGTAGTAATTATGACGGCTGTAAGCTGATTTATTTTTGGCGTACACTTTGACGTCAGTTGCTGCGTTAGAAGCAAAAATATTCATTACAGCACATTTGCAGAAACTCAATGTCACAAGTTTAAGTCTTAAGATCTGAAAAAAATGGAAGAAATCTGTAAGGAGGCAAAAACTTTCCCCACTCTCTTTATGATTAAAAATAGTAATTAAAATGATAATTGTGCTCTCCTATTTGCTTCTGAGAAGTCTATAAAGTCCAGGGTAAATCTTTTGTTCAATATCATTTCAAACTTTTATTGCTAGTTGTTATTTTTCAATCGCCTTTTAATAATTACCAAACAAATATATTTGGGAAACCTTGTTACAAGAAGCATCATGTAAGGCAGTTACCTTCAAGTTCTTCCTTCTCAAAATTGGTGTTGAGCATAGAACGTGTTCCCCCGCGGTCCAACACCGCCTCCTCATCGGTCCTCTACAGGAGACACAAATTCTAAGTTATTACTCAGCATATGAATCATATTAGTAATGCAACACCTAATGCGTTAGTGTTTATATGTGGGATGTAGTGATGTGTAGCACTTCTCCCAAAAAAAAAATAAAAAAAAAATACTTTAGAGAAGCATTTACTTCTTCATTCAAGTAAAATAAACATTTTCAACAAGATGCTTAAGGTGGTTACATAAAACCACCTACACACACACACACACACACACACGCACACACGCACGCACACCTACACACACCGGCTGACTCGGCCCAACCCACCCAGACTACCTGCAACATAAAGCTTACATTCACGGTTGCCACGACAACAAGGGACAACCAGCCGTGATATGGAAGGAGTCACGCTCATATTCGAAGTACCAGAATAGACATGTTGTAGACGGACGCTTTAAAAACAGAATGTGCAAGTTAAATTCTTGCAACGTTTCCTTGGGAGTTTATATACAGAAAAGCTAATTATTATTTACATTATTAAGTTATTATTACAGTAAATGGAGGTGGAAGGTATAGGAGTCTCTCATCTCAGCCAATTACACTGACTGGAAATGTTTCATATGTTCCCGTCTCTGCAAGTGTTTCGCATAGGAAGATTATTGGTGATGCACCGCCTCCGCTCTGTACTTCCTTTGCAAATATACAGCAAGTGCCAGAGTGACAATGGTTTAAAGCTTCAAAAAGTATCATTTTGAAATGTGACGTTTTATTAACGCTGAAGTTTTCCTCAGATGTCAAAAGTTCAGTTTGGTCTAAATTTAAACACCACGTCCAGAATGTCTGAAGCACAGGTGGAAAGTGTACGACTAACTGTGCAATTGAACCTACACCATTTTGAGAGCTAACCATTAAGTTCAGATTTTCTTTCCCTTTCTAAAATAATTGTGACCATAAAGCATTTAAACTCTATTTCTAATCTTAATTTTATTGATTAATGTTATGATTTAAAAAAAAAGGGGGGGGGGGTATGAAAAACAGAAGTATCCCATCTGACAGGTTAGTGTGCCGTTTGATATGTGTTTTCACTGTGTTTTCTGTTTATTTGTTTAGACAGAAATGTGGAAGAATCCAGAATAATTTGTATGCAGTTGTAGTCATGTCAGCAATTACAACTTTATCCCTTTTATTGACTATTTTCATAATATTAACAGCCTTTAAGCCCAGACCACTGAGCGCTAGCATCTCCAGACCATGTACCTAGGTATAAACAGTTGTCATGGTGACACCACCTACATCGCTTCACTCTGTTTTCTTTTGACTTTGTGTGTCTTATGAGATGAGAGGTAGCTAACACAAAATATTAAACATGCACAGAAAGCAACAAAGAAAGATATTAAAGTTACTTATGTTTGTATTTCTGCCCATATTAGGACTTTGTATTTACGTCCATTTATTTTAGTAACTGGATTTATGCAAAGCTAGACATTTTAAATAATCTTAACTGTTACTAGTCTATTCCTAACTAACTTTAACCAAAACTTGGTTCAAATCAGTCCAGCAGTCTTCAGAAGAGTAGTAAATATGTCAGAAATGGTCCTAAATAGAACATCTAAACACACACACACACACACGCACGCACAAGTACAAACATGTGAGAATCAAGCCAGAGCTGTAAAGGAGAGTGGACAGATGCTGACATACTTACTGTAAATAGGAACATGAACAGAGGAACTCAATATTCTAACAACGGCACAAACATGAGGGCAGCTTCATTTTTCAAATTTTGTCGCCCTACAACTCCAAACTGAAAGATAAGGTAACGGCAGCATCGTGCTGGGGAGGATGCATCTCTATAAAGAGACAGAGAGGACTGGAAATGGGCAAGGGAAGAACATTTGTGTGGCCCAAACAAAGTCCAGATGTAAATCTAGATGAAAATCTAAGTCATAAGTTAGAAACTACAGTCCACACTCTCTCTCCATCCAGTCTGATTGAGTTTGAGTTATTTTACAAAGAAAAAGGGAGAAAATAATAATATTAATGTAGGTGTGAAAAGTTGAGACATCCTCTGGAAGACTTGCGGAAGTAATTGAAGTAAGATGTTTGTTTCACTTCAAGATTAGGAGTCATTATGAGTTCTAGCACATAAAATCCCCCAAAAATACAATGTTTGTGGCTGAAATAGATGAAAGGATAGAAGTGTTTTCCCAAGGTATTGGAAATTCTAGCCCAGAATCTCCAGAACATTTCGTTTTCTGCTTTGCCATTTTGCCAGTGCATTTTACTGCAATGAAAGTAATTAGTGCAGAGAATAGGTTTCATCTGTTATGAAGCACTTATTTCTTATTTAGAGTCTAGTGAGTTTGAGCTACTGAGCAGAAGGATTCGAAAAGTCAGGAGATGCAAAAAGAGGAGGCTGCCAACCACCACAATATAAAACATTTTCCTGGTTCTCAGATTTGGAACCATCAGCCAACAAAAACAAAAAAAAGTTTGCGGATTTTAGAGGTTGTACAGAATGGGTGAAACAAAATCTAATTTTGGTGGTAGGCTGAGGAAGTTTTTTGGGCCGGATCAAAATTTATTTATTTAGCAAAACTGCAACAGAAACAGTTTTTGTTTTTAATCACACGAGTCACATGATCAACAACAGGACATTACTACCGGCACAAACCACAACAGGAAGTAGTTAGAGAACCACAGCACGGCATTTTTCATGACTTACTGCGTGAACAAACCTAGTCGTGTGTGATTCTAATCGCGTTCCTTATTTAATTGTGTTTTTTCTACATTTGTTTTGCGCACATTTGTAATGGAAATGCAGCTTTTGCCCTTATTGAGTAAACTTAACTAGCTAGCTCTAATATCAGTGTATTATTATTTGTGAAGAACGTTTGGTTATTAAAGAAACTTGATTATTATTATGGACGCATCTTGTGAAAAGATAATCACCCCCTTTCTCCATGTGACAACAAATCCCATTTACTGCTAGCTGTATGGGACCTTCACATTTTCCATTACTTTCTTTTTTTTTGTCTCTTTTATAATTTACTCATCTCCTAGTAACCTCCCATTAAATGAAATAAAGACTGACATCCAATATCCCTGACTGATGCTGCACCCTTCCCTTCTCTGTCCCACACAAAGCTTTGACAGATGAGCCAGAATCTCCTCCCTGCAGGTCCCGGCTTCTATTTATAGGCACCAGTTTCCTCCGCCCAATGCCGCTGACCCCAGACCAGCAGCGTGCCGGCTCACCAATCTGGGCTGAGATTAATCTGTGAGCAGTTATGACGGGATGAAACCTCATCTCCGACCGCTGGATGGGCGACGGAGGGCCCAATGCAGGGAGGAGAATTAATTTTGCTGCTTTTCCCGTTTGCTCGTCGCTCAGCGATGGAGATTTCAGACCGAATGGGAGCACTGGGCATGTGATCAGGACTCCAGGGGAGGGGGGGGGAGGCGGAACAGGAGGGGCGGAAGAGGGATGCAATGAACAGAATGTAACATGAACCGAATTCAAGCGCATGACTGTTTATCCTGAAATGTTTTGCGTTCTCTTTCCAACCAGCTCATGTATTTCAGCATAAACCTCTTCATCAGTATGTGATGAACACGTGATGCAGATGATCTAATGCATACTCATATGTGCAGGCTGTGATGTGATGGGGAGGAGCAGCGTGGATGAGCGAGCAACACGGGCTTCTGGAAGCTCTAATGTCACAAAGTGTTAAGTGTTAAGTGTGAGTGTACGTTTATGTACGTGCATGTAGAAACGTGTATGAATGCTTGTGCCATGATGAGAGCCGAGCGTCATCACTTCCTGAGGACAACTGACACTGAGCTGCCTCTGATGAACAGAAAACCAAACAGATATCTAGTGTATTCCCTGGTTTTGAATGTGTTTAATTTGGATTTGTGGTGCATAATTGTGATTTTTTTTTTTAACCAGAAATCCAACACCGAACCTTGAACACACCATCCTATGAGAAAATACTGTTGAAGAAGTGTCACAGTTTGATTCTGATGCAAAATTATACTTGACTACAATCAATCTGCTTTCAAAAAATCTAGACTAGTGGAGTTCAACACATCAGTGTAATCGCACCTCAACTTTGATGGGCAAATATCACAGATAATCTAATTTTAATAAATTCTATTTATTCATGTAATTTTGTCCCTTTTTAGCCCTCCATAAATTTTATGCTCTCAACTTTGTGGGACCAGTTCGGTGATGAACCCATGATGAAAAACAAGACTGTGAAATCATAGAAAAGTAATGAATGCACTCAATATTATGAGTTCCACATCCTTGATCCCAGTATACAAGCAGTATTTTGAAAAGAAGCAGCAGTTCATACTTCAGGGACAGTATTAGATGTTTTACAAAGTCCTTGTTCATATGTTCGTATGTTAGTGTTTGTCTTTTCAAACACTAACACACAGAGAAAGATGAACAGTTTGGCCCGCTCTCCTTCTGTTCATTTTTTTTTGTCTTATAAAGCTGTTAAAGTTAAATCCTAATGAAACGCAACTCTACAAGTGACAACCAAATCTGCATTTATTCACATCTGAACCACCAAAGACAAGTTCATTTGATCAGTTTACATATTTCATAAAATCGACCATCATTTTCTCTACACCTACATGTGCACAATGTAAAACTGAAGCACCACATTTTGTATTAGTTGGAGATTAGTAAATAACGAAGTTGCAAGCCAGCGATCAAACATGCTGTTGAGCATTTCATGCCGGTTCAGATCTTCCAGTTCCGTCGCACCTCAAAACTCATCTATCTTTGTTCAAGCCGTAATGAGATGGCGGTTCAAAACAGCTTTGAACTACTGTCAAAATTGTCACCCTTTTCAATGTCAGCATGAATAAAACATGGTTCTGTCTATGCAAATGAAAATGAAAAGAAGCTGTCTAATCCATATTTTGGAATTGTTTAGATGTTTGGTTCACTGGAACCAAACATGGTTTGATGTCGGATTACAGCAGAGTGAAATTATAGAATATATAAAACCAAAATTG